GGTCATATAAAAAAATAAAGTTGATGATGGTTTCTTGAAAACGAAACGTCGGATATAAAATCTAAAAATACCATCGTGTAGTACCTTAAAAGTGCCAATGAAAAAGTGTTATTCGTTTTTTGATATCTTTTCAAATAAAGTCAGAAAAAAATAAAATTGATATTGTCAAATTCTCGTTTTTCCCAAATATCTCAGCAGGCCATGAAAATTCTTCAAGTTTCTAAACGGCATGTAAATAAGCTTTAAAGAACAGAACTTTTTCCTAATTTAACCTAAGCTGTATCTCCAACAGGTACTGAGATTCCCATGCTTAGGATCCTTATCTTGGACACACTGTATATGATAGGATCCAGTGCTGAACTGGGCCTCGTATACCTATTGCCTCTAATTAGGTTCGTAAATACTCGTGCTTTATGGTGTCGAATGCACGCGACAGGTCAAAGAAAAGTCCTCCTACAACTTTGTTTTCGTTGATATTATCATTTTACATTGTGTCAAATCAACAGATGCTGTCTCCACTGAGTGGTTAGGTCGAAATCCATGCTGAGATGAAGTAATAATATTATATTTGTTTAAATAGTTGATTATTTGGTTGTACACTGCTGTTTTCGTTATTTTGATGAAACAGTTGAGGAGGCAAATCATCCTATAATTTTCAACACATTGTGTATCCCCTTTTTTTGAATATAGGAATCGACTTTGTGATTTTCAGTGCATTTGGGAATGTTCCACTCATTACAGAGTTGTTTAGTATTAACGTTAAAGTGCTAGATATAATATCAACTGATTCTTTTAGAATAGTGGTAGGAATTTCATCAATACCAGCAGAAAATGTTTTCTTCAAGTTAAGAATTATATGTTTGATGTCATGTTCAGTAACGGGAGCGAAAAACATGGAGTTTGGACTCATCGCTTCAATTTTGGTACACATATCTCAAGGGAGATCAAGGGAATTTATATTAGACAATGGAAGTCCGAACTGATGAAAAGAATGACGGAAACTATATTGATATACAACAAAAACTTCTCTCAGTGAGTTGTATACGACTCTAAATGATATCACACCTAGAGATTCTGATTTTGATATAATATGTGCCAAAAAAGTCATAGATAATTGGAAGAAACAAAATTACTTTAATGGTGAGAGTAAATTAAAAAAAAAAAAAGATGACAAGAAAAGAGTAATGCCACATTATGGAAATAAATTAACTGTAATTTAGAACAAAGTTTCAAATTTGAAGATAATGGAGGTTAAAAGTGCAGGCGGAAATCTGTCAATCGTACATGCATCAAAATACTATTGGTGCAGGATCAAAAAAATAACCTTTTCTTAATGAATTGTGTTAGAGCCAGGGAGGTATACATAAGCATCTTGAAAATTCCTTTGCAGTGATGAAACAAAAAAAACTAGTGAATCACTTTTGAATAAAACAGGAGCAGATATAGTTTCAGTAGCTCAAAAAAAAGAGTGAAACTTTCAATCGAAACTCGAAAAAATTGAAAGGTAGCCAATCCAAAGAAAAACAATTCGGTTCAAATAAAACCATTCAATAAATGAGAGGAACAAATAAGTAAATACTTTTTCATTGACTTTCAGTTAGTTTTTTCTAATTTTGTTTATTTGTAAGCATTTTAAAAATACAATAGATTCCCAATTGCTTTTTAATCCATCTATAAATTAGCAAATTACGTGTCCACTATCATTTTTATTGGTTCAAGTTATTTGTGAGGTATTTGGATGATGAAATAAATTCTTGATTGCTTTTTATTTCATTTTTGAAATGGAAAATGATGTCAGCTATCATTATTCTTTTTATTTTTCCCAATCTTTTTTTCTGCAGCTGTACTTGGCATGACACAATTCACTCTTGCTTTTGCATTTTAGGTTGAGGTACAAAGAGTATTTTGTTTTTGAATTTGAAGATTATGTTCAATATTCATTTCCTTGATTGAACCAGAAACGACTTCAAGTACGTTAATCTAGTTGAAATAGGGCTGCCTAAAACTGTAAACCGATAGTTGAACCCAGAGCTAACTTTGTTAAATACCAGTTATTCGCTCAAATTTAGCTAAAAGGAGTGTTTATACAATACATTTTAAAGTATATATATGAATGCTCCTATAAGGTATTTACACAATAACGAATACAGCTGAAGAAAGTTAAGAGTTTAGATGCTGCTGGGTAAAGAGTTGTTATTGGAACATCATGAATAATTCGGATAAAATATTTTCCACGTTAAAAATAATCGATTGTTGCCCGGGAATAATTTTTGAAGTATTATTTCACAATATATGTTATAAAAAACAGGTTATACTGTTGGGGTAAATGAAGATAAACTTACAATTCCTGATATGTGGGTCAAGACATGTCCCCTCGAAACAAAAATCATTTAAATTTGTCTAGAAAATATTTTGAGAGGATCGTTTCCGGAGGAATACACTGTATAATCGATCCTATTTTTGACATACCTCAAAGGGGACACATTATGATCCACTTCCACTTGATTACTATAGTTTATTAGCTGCTTCAGCCTTTCCTGAGGTTCCAATTTGTCAAGAACACTTTCTTTTCTCCTTTGAGACATGTTCATCAACTTTTATCTCACAACTATTATGGAACCCTTTTGAAACAAATCAATTAAGGTAAAAGAGAATTAGATGTTTATTTTCCATGACTCATAGAACTTTTTTATTAGGTTAGGCTGGGTTTAGCGACGAGAACTGTCAGTAGATTGAGTCGATATAAAAATTTTCTTCCATTATTTTTATATTACATCATTCCATCTAACGGCAAGTAGCCAAAGCAATTAGGAAGTCAATATTCAAGCTCGTAATTTTAAAATACAGATGGCAGAGTAATATAAAAAAATACAAATGAAGAGAGAAAGCATTTGAAACTAAAAGCTTTGTATCCTCTATTTTTAGTATTTCTTTTTTTCAGACAACAGTGTAGCCCAGGAAGTTTGTGAAATTATTTTCAAATTCATTTAAATCTGATTATGATTGATGGCAATATGAAGTCTACAATTTCGACGGGAGGCTGCTTGGTCAACAAAATGTTACGAATTCAAAACACCCCTTAGAAAGGGTGACACCGATATAATAATAATAATATCTTATTGATTAATTATGAAAATATAAAATTTGAAATATTACGATGGGTAGATATTTTTTTAGCAAAATATGCAAACATTACAAATGAATGAGTCGTTTAAGAAACCCCTATTGTCGAAAAACTTCGATTTTTTCAATAATTTTGTATAATGTGTAAAGCATATCTATGTACCCCACCAACGATTGATTCAGAACCACTCCACACATTTATTTGGTAAAATCCTGTCTCTACGTGGACATCCGGTCCACCCGGCCTCCAACCGGCGTGAATAGGAGTGCTGTTTCTCTTCAACACGTAAAGGCTGTTCACAAAAAACTTTTAATTTAATGATGGCACGTTCTATGACGGCAGACATTCACAACACAAACTGAGTTTCGTTCCCAACAAGGCGTCCGCGTGCCTTCTTTGTGGACGGTCGCTATCGGCACGTCCGTCCACCACCACATCAGAAACGAATTGAATATTGAGATATTGGAGGTGTTCTGGCATTATTATTATTATGACTGATAAATTGTAGTAACATATAATGTTTTTATTAAAATAAAACTATATAAAGTAGTCAAAACTTCTATAAAGAGTAAATCCGTAGAAAGAATAAAATCAAAATTGCTGCTTCGTTCCCTCCTGTTCATAAAAGAGGACATATGCCTCATTGCTCACAAGTGATTTTGGCGAAATTGGGAACACGTGTGAATCGTTGTATTCATGCCATGTGCCACTATATGGGTGTCTGCAATATGGTGTGTAATGTCCGTTGTAAGTAGTCCCACTGTGATTTGAAAGTGCATATAGATTATAATGACAAGGAGCCACATTGTCTGCTGCATAACTGCTCATGTTTAATCCATCCGAAGAAAAGTCAATGGAAACATTCAATTTGCCTCTGAACCTTTCCGTCGGAGAGAATCTTTTCAAATGAATTACTAAAATACGGGGAAACTTATAGATTTTAATTGACCAACGAAATAGTCTACAATCTTGGAGTTGTTCATATTCAAATATCTCTGCCAGGACTCTTGTGCTTTTCCGTTATCGCTCAATTTTTCGTCAATCTCAGTAAAGATTGGTTCAGGTTTCTCAGTAATTTTGTTGAGGTAAACCTTCTAAAAGATATCGAAGGAATTCTTGGGCGTCTTGATGAGCAGAACCCATGTATCGAGGGGCAAATCTTTGAATCTGATTTTTGAAGTAGACTGTGTTAATTACTCTATCAGATGAATCTTCTGACCATAATTCCTTGATAACTTCTGCGAACGATTTGATTAAAACATCTTTCATACTAGAAATACTAGTATTGATATCTTCCATGAATGCATCCTTTTTCAGGTATTCCAGTAACCATCCCATGTTTGATAAACATTGGATTATACTGTTCATGAAACAAGTGTTTCCAAGATTTTTTAAACCATTGAACTCAAGAGTTTTGATTGAAGAATGTATCACCGATCTATTGTTGCAACTACGTTTGCCACTACTATCTTCTTCTGAGTAAACACGGATAGGATGATTCACCCCTTCATTAGACTGGTAGGATAAAGAATTCGAAGCAAAACTGCTCAAAACTGAATTAGATATTAGTTCTTTTGGGTACTGTGACGGCTCAGCCAGAGGACCAAACTCAGCCTCATTTAGAGTTCCCACTTCCTTTTCTGTCAAAGCTTGACGGTTTTGCTGCGAGTCTTCCACCAAACTGCACAACTCCAGTTCTTGCACTGTCTGTACATGCCGATATATTTTGTTCATGGGAAACATTGATAATTCACTTAGGTTTTTTGATTGAGGAATTGTACCTAAACATGAAGCTGCATTTCCTCTTTGAATCAGAATGCTAATTTTTTTAATCAAGAAAGAGGTAGCTCTTGGGTCATTCGTTTCTTTGGATATCCTAATGCCGATTTCACGAATGAACTCCAATGCTTGGGGGCCTAAGGTACCAAATGTTTCGATTCCTATTGCATAAAAAATGAAATTATCTGCCAAATAATTGTATTTTCGTGTTTTTGACAATTCCGCTGATGAAGCTGCTGCACCGCTGGATACAGAAGTCGAAGGAACGTGACAAGGAGCCAAAGTATCGACGCATGTGAAATCCTGCAAGTGCCTAGGGGTTCTAAGATGGAAGATATATTTGCCGAACCAAAGGCACGTTTGTTGACATCATTTACAGCTCGATGACGGGAAAAGCGCCCGGCGCTATATCTACAACTCAATCCATGATATCCTCGGGTGTCTACTTCCACTTCACACTTGCATTTGTGTTGAACAGAAATATTGGAACCTAGTCGAAGGCCTACATCAACTCTAAAAGATTCATTGTCTAATAATGTACCAAGGGATGAAACTGGTAAAGCATCCAACCAAGCACCTGCATGTTTTGACGACACTGTTTTTTATACGTGCCTTATAAAACAAATTGATGTATTATTCTACACCCAGCTAACCAGATGACGTTAAATATACGTCGTTTTTACGCCATCAGGCGTGTGATTGGTTGATATGGTTTTATTAGTGTTGATTATCGGAATGAGAGATACAAGTATAAGTGATAAACTGCAACTTGATCCTGCACTCACTCTCGAAAAAGCTGTAACCTGTCTAAGACAACATGAAGAGCTAATCCGTCAAAAACAAAACCTTAATGAACCAAATGTTTCTGCTATAAGAAAACAATCGTCTTACAAAAAACCACAGAAACCCCAAAATTGCCCACAGTTGAGTGAAGGTGAGAAAACAAAAAAATGCCCTAGATGTGGATATGATTGGCATGATAAATTAGTAAACTGTCCTGCAAAAAATGCTAAATGTGGTGCATGCAAAAACGAAGGGCACTATAGTAAGATGTGTTACAAAAATAAAAAGTCCAAAAATAAAAATGTAGGTACATGCCATTCAGCAAGATTCAGAGCCCGACAGTGACGAAAACTCTTATGTACATGAAATCAAAGCGAGTGATGAAAGGAATATGTGGATACAAAAACTACAAATAAGCTACAAAGACAGAATGCTTGAACCTATCACATTCAAACTGGATACTGCTGCTGATGTAACAATGGTACCTGTCCAAGTGCTGAATGATGTAATTAATGAACTACCTTTGAATGAATCTTCGAATAAATTATTCAGTGCAAAAAAGCAAGAAAGATTCGAAATTCTAGGTACAGTAAAACTAAAACTAAAATATAAAAATAGGGAAATTACAGAAAATGTATTTATCTCTGAAGAGATCGGTGTCCCATTGCTGAGCAGGAAAGCATGCCAAGGGTTATATTTAGTAAAAATAATTTATTCTATAAGCACTGAGACAAATTGGGTCACAGAATACTCCTCATTATTCCAAGGACTAGGCAATATAGAGGGTGAATACAAAATCGAAATGAATGAAAATGCTGAACCATATGCTATTTCTGTACCAACAACTGTTCCAGTTCCATTGAGAGACCAAGTAGAGGAAGTTTTGGAAGAAATGCAGAAAAATAGTGTCATTGTGCCCGTAGATCATGCGACTGAATGGTGTGGTGTGGTAGTAAACATAATGAAAAGAGGAAAAGGGCTCCGTATCTGTGTCGATCTGTCAAGGTTAAATAAAAGTGTCAAACGTCAGTTTCATCCAATTCCAGCAGTGGAGTTACAACTTGCAGAGATTAGAGGGGCTGAATATTTCAGAAAAATTGATGCAAATCATGGATTCTGGCAACTTAATTTAGCCGAAGAATCAAGAGACTACACAACCTTTTTAACCCCATTTGGAAGATTTAAATTCCAGAAATTACCTTTCGGTATTACATCAGCACCAGAGGAATTCCAGAAAAGAATGTCACGACTCCTTGAAGGAGCAAAAGATACCCTAGTCCATATGGATGATGTGCTGGTATGGGGAAACACAAAAGAGGAACACGATGACTGTGTTGTCGAAGGATGGGGTAGCACCAGATCCAGGCAAGGTGAAGGCAATTGTAGAAATGGAAGCACCAAAAGATGTCAACGCCTTATGGGTTCTGTAACATTCCTAGCGAAATTTATCCCTAATAGCAGTGAAATTATGCAACCAATTACAAGTTTAGTCAGTCCAAGCAATGCATTTCTATGAGGCCCAGCACAACAAGAGGCATTCCAGAAAATAAAAGAATTGCTTATACCAGCACCTCGTTTAATAATGTATGATGCAAATAAACCTACCATCCTATCCTGTGACGCTTCTACCAAAGAAGTGGGGGCTGTATTACTTCAAATAGAAGGTGGCCATAAGAAACCTGTAGCATACATCTCAAGGACATTGACCCCAGCTGAAATTATGCAAACATAGAAAGAGAAGCACTAGCTCTGACCTGGGCAAGCGATCGACTAAAGAGTTTTCTGATAAGGAAACAATATACCATAGAGACCGATCACAAGCCACTTGTACAAATATTTAAAACTAAGCACCTCGATGATCTGTCTCCAAGACTTCACGCATGATACGTTATGATTGCAATATTGTATATACCCCAGGGAAAAATTTATGTATTGCTGATACTCGTAAACCTATACCTTCAGAAGATGACAAAGAATTTGTAGAAGAAATCGATGTCTTCATTCATGGGGTCACTCTCGCAGGTATTCCCACGTCTGATGAGA